CCTCTCTCTCTCTCCTCTTCCTATCTCTCCTCCTCCTCTCGTCCCGCCCCCCCCCCCCCCCCCCCTTTTCCCCTCTCCCCGCCATCACCCCTGAATCCTCCCACCCCCATTGCCGATGGATCCTGACGAGTATAATAGTTTTAAATATAAAGTCATTTTAATTATTATGCTGTCAGTAATTGTGATTACTACAATACATATATGTGTTTTAGGTATATTAATATGTAGCTGTAATATTCATTCGCCAAAGTAATATAATACCTTTTACCCTTTCAAAAATAGTATTTGTCTTCTACTGGTACCACTAGTATGGTGCTACTCGGCCTCCCTTCACTTATAAAACTGGAGTTGAGCAAATGTATCCTCCAAGATACTAGGCTCTGTCCGGGGCGCTCGGGCCCGGGCCCGGGCCCGAGTGTTACTACCATCCGTTACTTCCGTTACTGATCAACTGTTGCTGTCCAGTGGAGTACGAAGACAGGACTGTGGTCCAGAGGAGGGTGGTAGCCCTGCGGGGTGGGACAAAGAAGGGGGTGGGGGTGGTATTTTTCACTTCCTATGATATGGTGGTGTGCTACTACAAATGGCTGAGATACAGAATTGGTGGGGTCCTCTTTTGTAGCTGCAGGAAGGGGTAGGGTACTATGTTAGATCACTGGCAATAGCGAAGGGGGTAGTAAGAGCTCTGCACTGTCTGTGGTGTGGTGTGGGGTGGTAAAAGTTAGTAAATGGGTGGGGTAGTCAAGAATGGGGTAGACGACAACCTGCAGTGAATTGTTTGGGGTGGTAAAACAAATAAAATAGGTGTTTTTAAATTTCCAGTACATGAGGGTAGGGGTCAAGTGGGTACGGGTTATGTCATCATGAAAAGAAGCGACTAATAACGGGTGGTCATCACATAAATTGCGAACTCTTTAGGTGGAGTGGTAGTCAAAGATTAGTTAACATACGATTACTTACTTGAGTAAAATAATTTCTACACACCCCCACCACCTTCTGACCACTTTTACCCCACCCCTTCGGTATCTGCTGCCTACCCATACTCTCTAACCCCCACCCCCTCGACCGATACCCCCTCGCACTACTACTTCTTCCCGGCTTTGGCTGTCAATTTCCGCTCGGATATCCGAGGGGCTCATCCATTTTTAGGTAACTACCTACTTTCTCCACTCAAATGTGTTACTATTTTATTACTTAATACAGAATTTGGTATCTCCACGGAATCCGCATCAAAGATCAGAACCCCCTATCGGTATTCTTTGCAAGAACGCTGGTGGCCTGAACATCGCGCGAGCAGGAAGAGCGAAGCTTTCCTTGCGCTCGGAGATCGGCAGCTTGCTCCACCCGCCCTCCTCCCTCCTCCCTCCTCCCTCATCTCTTCTCGGAACCCTCACTCTCCTCCCTTGTTCTTGCTGCCCTTCTTCTCCCTCCCCCTGCCTCTCCGCTACTTTCGAATTTTCGACCTCTTCGTCCAATCGTAACGAAGTACTTGTGCGCTTTCTTGCCAGGCACGGGAGCTGGATCGTCTCGAAGACAACTTCCGTCTCTCTTGCTCCGAAATTTTGGTGCCTGCCAGCCTGTCTTGAGCGTGAGTGGTGTTTGGCAAGCGTCGGTGACGAAGGTAGATGGGCGTCTCTTGCGGTTTTCCGCCTCTTTTTTCGTGGAAACAGGATTGAGTGGGGCAGGCTGCAAGGAGCACGACACCACCTCTTCTCGTCTCATCCTTCACGATGAGCTCGTTCCTCGACGTCCTCAACGACTCCAAGGGCAAGAAGAGCAACTCCGCGACCTCGGCGCCTCCTGCTAGCGCAGGGCAGTCGAAAGAGAAGAGCCGGCCCATGGAGGGCTCGCAGCTGACAGCAAGGCTGACCGCTCTCCGACTGGCTGATCGTCCCCCCCGATCTCTCCGGCTCTTCCAAGTTCATCCGACTCCTCCCTACATGATGGGAGGAAGCAATCCGCTGCCAACCTCGTACAGCGTGTCCCCCATGGCGAAGTCGAAGCGGCCGAGGCCACTCACGAAGAAGAACGGCGCCTTCACCGCCATGGCAGCGCGTCCTCTCTTCCATGGCAGCGCCCTCGCTCACTTCCCGCGGGATACTGTGCCTAGGAACCTGTCAAGGCCTGATATCTTTGGGGAAGCTCTTGCCCTCGCTGGTGATCCCTACTACTCCCCCCCCCCCTCCACCACCGCCTTCTCCCCTTGTTTCCTCCTACTGCCCTTGCTCTTGTCTCGATAGGATCCTCTCCCCTCCATGCCAGCGGTACGACATGCTGATACCTCCTGCGGCAGATGTCAAGGACGTGTCCATGCTGGAAGTCACAGAAGGGGGGTTCCCCCTTTGCATGAAGCATGATCAATTCACGGAGCTCGTCAAGTCTCAGGTCATAGGAGGGCACTTGCTGTTCGAACGTTGCTGACTTGCATCTCTGCCAGCAGAAGTTTGACTGGAGAGGACAGACAGTGAGCAACAAGACCTTGATTGTGTCTTCGTGTGATGATTGCTTCCAGAATCCGCTAGCTGACATAACGTCTGTTCCCTTGATGCCGCTTCCTTCGATAACATCGTCGACTGGACTTCGGTAATTCTACTCCTCCCCTCTTCCCCTCTTCCCCTGCTCTCGTCCCCTCCCCTCCTCTCCTGCTCTCTGTTCCTGTTCGGAATTTGTCTTGTGAAACAACCCTTCGCACGGACTTCAGCGTGTCTCAATCCTTGACCTGCCTGCCTGCCTGCCTGCCTGCCTGCCTGCTTCTCTTTTGTATCCTATAGCGAGTCCGAAGATCCTTGATCCTCCTTCTTGTATCTCTCTTCATCCCCTTCCCGCTCTCCTGACTTTTCAGCACCAGCTCGCAAGGTCGCAGGAAAACAAGGCCAAGCAGGCGAACCGAGGGAAACAGCAGTACTGGAACCAGGTACAGTGCGAGGAAGAGAGGGAGAGAGGGAGAGAGGGAGAGAGGGAGAGAGGGAGAGAGGGAGAGAGGGAGAGAGGGAGTCTGCAGGAGGGAGGGAGTCTGAGGGAGTCAGAGGGGGGGAGAGAGGGAGAGGGAGAGGCAAGCAGGGAGGCAGGCAGGAGGCAGGCAGGGAGGGAGGTATCACACTGATTCTGCCGTAGGTCGTTTCCAACCTCATGGACAAGTCCCCCAAGCCCCAGGACGGGAGGCCCCTGGTGAAGGAGGAGCAGGCGGGAGACGGGGCTGGGTCCCCGTCCTCCTCCCTCACCAGCGCAGACCATCAGGACATGGGCTCATCGAAGGGCTCCTCCTCGAAGAAGAAGTCCAAGAAGGGGGACAAGGGCAAGGGCGGCAAGTCTCGCTCGCTCCTCTCCGGCTCCGGAGCCGACGGGGACTCGCTCAACAAGTTCTTCGAGATGGAGGCCTACAAGTCCAGCGACAACCACATCCAGGACCGGAGCTCCGGCAGCTACGCGCACCCCGTGAGCAGGAAGGTGGACACACCGCTGGTAATGCCTCAGCCCTCCTTGCATCTTACATGCTCTTCCTGCCCCTGCCCCTGCCCCTGCCCCTGCCCCTGCTCCTGCTCCTGCTCCTGCTCCTGCTCCTGCTCCTGCTCCTGCCCCTGCCCCTGCCCCTGCCCCTGACCCTGCCTCTGCTCCTGCTCCTGCCCTTGACCCTGCCCCTGCCCCTGCCCTTGACTCTGCTCCTGCTCCTGCCCTTGACCCTGCTCCTGCTCCTGGTCTGACGTGCTCGGTTAGGACATCGGCCTCTCGCACAAACCTTCGACGGTAGATCGCAATGGTCGCAAGTCGGAGGGGAAGGAGGGTGAGGGGAAGAAGGGAGGGGACTGTAAGAAGAGTTCAGCGCAGGATGCGAAGAAGAGCTCGTCCCCAGCTCAGCAAGAGGCGAAGCCAGCGAGCGACAGGTCGGCGGTGCTGAAGAAGGTGGAGGGCAAGGGGAAAGGGAAGAACAAGACTCGAGTCAGCCCCAAGGAAAAGGCCAGAAGGTGTCTCATGCACTGTCAGGGGAAGCTGTACATGGGCGACTCGCCTCCGAGCAGTGAGGAGCTGAAGAAGATGAGGGAGGAGGTGCTGGCGATCGAGTCTTGGAGGCCTCGGGACGGGACGCTTGTGGAGCTGGAGGAGCTGGAGAAGGAGAGGGCTGAGGCGGTGGAGAAGTTGGAGAAGGAGGACGAAATTGCGGAGAGGGAGGCTAAGGTGCCGAGCGGTTGGCTCAGGAAACGATCTCGTCTCCTGCAGGACTACAACAAGCACTCCGACTACGGCTCCTGGTTCCTCGCCAAGATGCAAGCTGATTTCATTCCCTTGTCCAAGAACGAGTCCTTCCAAGACCTGGCCATCCTCAACTCGTCAGATGTGTCGGTGGAGCGAACGATGAGGGGGAGGGAGAGGAAGGCGCCGAAGCACATCATGGCCAACTACTCTGTCGGGCTGCAGGGGAGCATTGCGTGGGCGGCGCTGGTGCCGAAGAAGAAGGGCGGGAGGGAGGATGACGACGTGGAGCAGGCAAGCACGACGTCCGGGGGGGACAACTCAAGGAACAAGATGTCGATCAAGAACAGGACGACGCACATGACGGGGCTGCCGGAGGGCTGGACGGGTCGTGCGGTGACGAGGCAGTCGTCAACGCAGGCAGACATTTGGATGATGGCGCCTGACGGGACCAAGTTGAGGTCGGTGGTGGACGTGGAGCACTGGTACGCGCAGAACAAGAAGCCTTTAAGCAAGCAGGAGCGCAGGCTGTTCGAGGAGAGCTGCAAGGACGTTCGGCGCAAGGCTGCCTCCCTCCATGAAGGACAGAGGGCTGCCGAGGACGCGTCCCCTGTGCAGGAGACCCCTGCCAAGGAGAGCAGGAGCAGAACTCCAGCTGGAGGAGGAGGCGGGGGAGGAGGAGGGGGGAGGAGGAGAGGGGGGGGAGGGGGGGGAAGGGAGGTGGACTTGAGTGAGTTTCAGACGATCTGCTGGGACTGCAAGAAGGGCAAGTTCTCTCAGAAACACTACTCGCGCACTCAATGCCGGAAGCTGCACGGGCACACGGACGTGGACTGGAGGGAGGATCCCAGGGAGGCAGGGAAGAAACATGCTCCTCTCCGACCTGCTGGAAGCAGAAAGGATAGCGGGCAGCAGGTGCAAGAGAGGAGCAGGAGGAGGGGGACAGAGCGCAGCTCCCGTGCAGACTCGGAGTCGAGCGAGGACGAGGACGAGTCGAGGAGGAGCAAGACGGCGAGCAGGAACGGGCGGAGCTCGCGGGATCGGCGGGAGGGAGGGAGGGGAGCAATAAAGGGGGAGGTGAAGGGAGACCAGTACATCGCTGAGGACGATGAGAGCATCGCGGAGATCGCGCGAGGGCTGAGGGTGGAGGCGGCGGAGCTGCTGAGGATGAACAGAAGCAAGTACGGGGGCTGACGGTCAACTCGAAGCTATACGGGGGTACCGTGCTGGATCTGCCGAGCTCCTTCTCGCGGGGCAGGAGGAGGGAGGGAGGGGAGGAGAAGGAGGACGGCGGGGAGAGCGAGGGGAACGAGGACGAGAAGGGCGGGGAGGAGGACCTGATGGAGTTTGAGGAGGAAGGTGAAGGTGAAGGAGGGGAGACGAAGTCGAAGAAGCGTCAGAGAGAGGATGGCGCCAGTGAGGAGGAGGATGGGGAGGAGGAGGATGGGGAGAGCGATCGGAGCTCGGCGCAGGTGCAGCGTCGGTGGGGAACAGGTGGGGCAGCGGCGTGATCGACTCGAGGAGCGGAGGACAGAACGCCAAGTCTATGCGATGCTCCTACGAGCTTTGCGCGACCCCCCACCACAGCGGAAGAGGAGACGGCGAGCACGGCTGGAAGCTTGTGACGGCGCAGACGCGAGCAGGGAATCGAGATTGGACGGAGCTGATAGGACGCGTCTTCTGCAACGCCTGCTTCATGCAGTTCGCTACCAGGGGGACACTTGAGAGGCCGGGTCGATCGTCGGGGAGGCAGGGCGATGGGGAGGAGGAGGTTGGAGCGGAAGGGGGGAGCAAGGACAAGGGCAAGAAGGCCTCGGACGAAGTCTCAGTAGACGGGAAGGAGGAGGAGGAGGGAGGGAAGGGAGCGGAGCAGGGGACGAGGACGCAAGGAGGGGGGGATGGGAGCGGAGGGGAGAAGCAGGTCAAGTGCGGGTACGCAAACTGTCCTCACAAAGATAAGGAGAGGCACGGGAAGGACGGGGAAGGAGCAGGGGGACGCTGGATGACCATCACTAGCAGCACGGCGGCAGGCGGGCAGGACTGGTCTCGCTTCCTCGGGCAGACGTTCTGCAAGTCTTGCTACACTCACTACTCAACACACGGCACGTTCGTCAGAGGAGAACCGCGCGTGCAGGTGTGGAGAGGAGGGGGAGGGGAGAAGGGGAGGAGAGGAGGGAAGGAGAGGAGGGGAGAGCAGGGGAGAGGAGGGGAGTGGAGAGGAGGGGAGTGGAGTGGAGAGGAGGGGAGTGGAGGAGAGGAGGGTGGAGTGAATGGGAGGAGATGGCGAGGATAGCGCGGATAAATTTGTCTGTTGACGATATGGCAGAACAATTCCGACAATGACCAGGAAATAGAAAT